TGCTTATTCACTCTGCTGTTGCCTTTGCTTTTTAGTTTGTTATAATCCTGTTTGTGTATTTTTGCTTATGTTTTGGGGATCATATTGAAAACATTCACTGCCCAGATAAATGTCATGGAGATTTTTCCATGTGTTCTGCTACTTTTATAGTTTTAAGGGTTTTTTTTTTTTGCTTGTTTTTGTTTTTGTTTTTTTGGATACCAGGGATTGAATTTAGGGGAACTCAAACACTGAAGCCACACCTCCAATCCTATTTTGTATTATTTAGAGACAAGGTCTCATTGAGTTGCTTAGTGCCTCTCTTTTTTTTTATTGGTTGTTCAAAACATTACAAAGCTCTTGACATATCATATTTCATACATTAGATTCAAGTGGGTTATGAACTCGCATTTTTACCCCAAATACAGATTGCAGAATCACATTTTGTCGAGGCTGGCTTTCAACTCGTGATCCACTGTCTCAGCCTTCCAAGACACTGGGATTACAGATGTGCGCTATGCCATGCATAGTTTTAGTATTTATGTTGAAATCTTTAATCAATTTTGAGTTGATTTTGGTGTAGTGTTTGAGATGAATATCTAATTTCATACTTCTCCATGTGGATATCCAATTTTCCCAGCGCTTGAAGGACATTTATTTATTTATTTATTTATTGGTAGTTGTAGATGGACAGTGTGCCTTTGTTTTATTTGCTTATATTTTGTATGTGGTGATGAAGATCGAACTTAGTGCCTCACACATGCTAGGTAAGTGCTCTGCCACTGAACCACAACCCCAGCCCCTTGAATGACTTTTAAAATATATTATTTTTCTGTTGCCATTTCTCTCTGTAGAAAATATTAATTGTATCTATGTATACATTCTTTCCAGTTCTTCCCCACCCTTTAATAGTATTGACTAGGTCCCTACTGTTTTAATATAATCATTATTTTCTCATTTAGTCATTATATTTTATAAAATTCTCAATCACTGTTATCTTGTGTATATGTGTATGAAATCATATTCTTGCAGAAACCAATCTTGGTTCTAAATCTGGGTTTTGATTCTCTAGTCTCCTAAAACTTTTTTAGGTGGTAGAAGATAATTCTTTGTTTTTTCTCTGCATTATCTTTTGACGGACTTCTAAGATTTCTTCCAACTCAGAAGTAATTTTTTACTAAAGACAGTCCTGTGATACATCTCCTGAGAAAGGTTACTGTATTTTTCAGATTTCCTTCCACAACATCATCTTGTGATATCTTAAAGAACTTTTTCTTCCCTCATCTCTATTTCTACCATGTCTTAACTCTTTTATTTAACTATTTGTGTATTTTGAAGATAACAGTACTTTCAGAGTTCTATTAATTACGTAGCTGGCTGGCACTTTGCTTTAGTCCAATAGGAATGACAATAGTTATTAGTTCTTGGCTTCATATACTATGTTAACATAAGACTTTTTTGTTTCAAAATAATCTTATTATGTTTGTTGTGCTATCAGTGATGCAATATTAGATTTTCTCCCAGTTCTTAGTTTTCCTTCTTAGAAGCATTTACTCTAGAAGACATATTTTTGGTGTTTTCTTTGTCAAAATTCCAAAGATATATTGTCATGTGTTCTCATGTTCAATGATAATCTAGATCTCTTTCTATTTTAGGGCTTCTAAATTCTAATTCAGAATTTAAGCTGTTTTGGATAATGAAGATTATCAACTTCTGTCACTTTTCTTTTTTCTTTCTTTTTGACTTTTGATTTTGCCTAGTCATTTTAAAGGTTCTTGCTCCAAAAGTTAATCTTTTCTTCTTTGGTTCACAGAACTCATAATATATGTAATGATACTAAAATGTAATGGTTAATCACATGTGGCAGGTAGTTCACTTAAAAATGGTTACTGTTTTTCAGTTTTTGTGCTTCCTATTAAGTTAGGTTCAGATTATTAATCAATCCCTGARACAAACTGTGATCTCTTTCTATATCAGATTCCAGTCAGGACCCTCTTCCTATACCTGACATACACAGTCTATTTATACTCAAATATGCTCATAACTGTAACAGGAGTTATCCAAACTTTTAGTCATAAAAGTGTTTAGAATATAGCAGGAGACAAATGGCATGAAACACTTGAGTATGAAATAAATATGTTAAAAACTTGGGGTAGGTGATGAGAGACCTGGGCAATCAATTAAGAATAAATAAATGGCAGATGGGGAAGGATCTTCTTAGAAAGTGAATCATTAGAGCAGGGGGAAATTTTATGTGTGTTCATAAAACTGCCCAACTAGAGGAGTGAGTAAAGAAAGACTCTTATGTCATTTAAAATTTTGCATGAGAACATTTATAGAAATATGAATATAAACAAAATATTAACTGAAATACTTCAAATTGTATTTTTTGAAAATTTACATATTTTTATGCTTCACAATCTTGTACCGAAGATTCCTGGGTATGATTGTGTTTATCAAGTTCAACAGAATTTAAACATGGGATTTGTTGTGATGAAGAATATAGGGCAGATTGGGAGGGGTGAAAGGAGTGGGGAAGGATCCTCTTTTTTTCCCTAGAATCTAAACAGAGGAGAGGTGTGATTCACCATCTTATAGTGGAAAGAAGCTTTCATTCTTTGTGTGGAACATGGCAGCAATCATTCTCTAGTTAGATCTAAACGACAGAATTGCAAGGTGAACTGTATTGGTGACTAACTCATTTTCCCTCACCTACAGCACCCTCTTTTCCCAAGATCAAGCAATTTTCTTGTGTAATGAACTGTATCTGCTATCAAGTGGCCTGGAATTAAGAGGTCCAAAGCATCTTCCAAGTCCTTGTTTCCTATTTGGCATCATGATGTCCTTTGCTGCCATAACACTGATCTGTGTTTTCCAAGGCTATAAAAAAGGAGGAATGCAAAAATGAATAGAACTATTGAACAATTTTATATATAGGAGAAAGGCTTCAAACAATTTTAAATTATTCAGGGAAGAGTTTTCTAGCTAATAGGTTGTCAAATTCTTTGCATCAAATGCTTTTGTCTGGTTGATAGCCTTTTGGTCAGCTTTGTAGCAATCAGAGGGGAGCAGATGGAACAAGAACATGCTTTGAAACCAATATCAACATTCAAAAGTGGGTTTTAGTAGTTTGATTTATGCCCATAACATACCCAAAGTCTGGAGAGAGTGAGTTCAAGGAAAAGACAAAAATATAAGTAAACTAGGTAATAAAGAAAAAAAGAGAAACATAGGATTCAAACTATACATTTTCTTAATTTACTAGGTCTTACATGGACATAGAAAATAAGAGAACTGAAATAAATTTACATGATCAGCTCAAAATTCTATTTTCTCATAATGTCAGTGTTTTTAATTTTTTCTGTTAGCAGACAATATATTAATCATTTATTCTACTAACCCTTTCTTCTATAGTTGTCACACATTTAATGTTTTATATATTCATAAATTACCTTTTGGCATTTACCGAAAATATCACCAGTTAGCAAATGAAAATATCTGCTGGGAGACTTTCCATATTTTATATGGAAATGGACATTTTTWAAAAGCCACATATTTATTGGTGATTTTATAAATTAAAAGCACAGTATCAATGGGTAGATTCAGGAAATAAATGGAGCTACTAAAGAGAGAAGGTACTTATTCAATGACAGCAATTAATTCAGTGTGAAAATAACAAAATTCCACAAATATTTACAACATTAATATAAATTGTTAGTTGTAATACCAAAATATGTTGACTAAYGCTTATTGCAAATGTATACATTTTATGAACTATTTTAACTAGGAATGACTTTACCTTTAATTAAAAYATGGCTACTGAAGTGAAACAATGCAAGTCCCTAAACTTTATAATAAAATACAAAAAGTTCAAAGCTGGAAATAAAACAATTTGGCTCTTTGTGGGCATTTTGTGATCTATAATAACACCTTATAAATTACTCTTAAAAGAAAAATGTGATTAAATTCAATTGCACTTGAGTAAAGCCTAGGTAGATAATTTTTTCAGAGACAAAACTGATTACAAACCCAAAGCCAGTCCTTTGAAAAAATCTTTGGGGGGGGGGGAAGGAATGTTTTTAAAAACCAGATCAAGGTGAATTTAACATAAAAGAGCCTGACTAGGTCTTAAGATCCAGAGCTGGAGTGATCATTGATTTAATCCAGTATGGAACTTATTACATATTTATATATGTTCTTGTTGCACTTGTGTTTTCCTATATACCTCTTATAAAATATCAGGGAATTCAAATGTTTTCAGTCTGTCTGAATAAACTAGCAATTTTGGAAAATTTTAAATCATGGTCAAACTCATAAATCTTGAGTGACATCATGTTTGTGTAATCCTTTTCAAAAGTAAGCTGACAATATATTTAAAAAGACAAATATGGTCATTTCCATCTAGTAAGTATTTCTAATTTGAGAGTATTCTCTGAGGAAATTATAAAAAAATCAAATAAAAACAAAACCTTATTATAATAGTGTTTATTCTTTATAAAGCAAAAATAATGAAACTTTCAACAATATGAACCCTGGCTTAGTAAATTAGACTTATCAACTTGAATGTTACAACCATGTAAAAAAGGACAAATATAAAGGTTATGTAGCTATGTAGGAAAATGGATATACGTTAAAYAAAAACAACATAATACTAGATTATGTTGTTCTTGTATGTATATGGAAAAACTGACAGTTGTAACTACATTAACTATACATGTGAAAAAAAACCACAATCTTTATTGAATAACACTTTAGGGGTAGGATTTTTCTCTCTAAGCACTACGGAATGGTTATGGCAGGTATTTATCTGTCTCCTCACACCACCTTCATGCACAACAGTGGGCCCTCAACAAAATGAAACAGAAACACAAAGAGCCAAAAAATGGAGAGGGACCACCTGTACATTTAGAGGTATTCATGATTCTTCACTTGGGAGACCTGACTTCACTCTTACTTTTGGATTCTATGAAAAAACAATCACTAATATCTTTATGATGAATTCCTACTTTTTGCTTCTACAGTTCAAATAGGTGTGTGCAAATCAAGAAACAAAACTAAGGCAATTTTTATATTTCTTTCATAATTTTAACTTGCATTTTAAAAATGATCTGTATAAGAGTAGCAAGTGCCACAGGTTAGCTAATTGCATTGCAAATAGTGTTATTTTTTCCTAGGGTAGGAAGTGTACTTATTGTAGAGACAGTTCCTTAAATAATATAGCTAAGGTAAGCTAACATTTTTAGACAATATTCCAACTAAATGCTAAGCAAAACATGTTAACATCATCTCTTTCTTTTGCTCTTTAGTTATACCTGTGCTTTAAATGACAATTTCAGGGATAAAAATTACCTTTTTGCCTTGAAGAGAAAGACACTATGTAAGAATTCTAGTGGATTATGTCCTTTACATCTGACTTTAATCTTTGCCTAAGAATTTACTTATTTTTTGTTCTTTCATGTACTGTTTACCAAGTGCCAGATAACATATGGAAGAGTCTGCATACCCTATTCTATTTGCTCTTCACAAAATTTCTGTGCTGCAATGATTCACCAATGACAAGAAACTTTTCCTCTTTTCCATAAATATTAAAAATATTTTGGACAGGCACTGCTTTCAGTATCAGAAACACAAAGATAATTAGGAGAGGGGCCTGATGTAAACAAAACAAAAACCACATATAGGGATAATGCTACATCAGTGGCATGGACAAACTAAAGTATGTGGGGAATTATTAGCTATGTGGGGCTTAATTCTATTTGATATGCACCTCAAAAGCACTATAGTTTCATCCTTAAGATTTGCATACACTGTGACTTCTTTTAATTCTCTCACCCTAACCCCATTAAAGCTCTAGGATTGAAAATAGGCATTGAATGAAGGAGTAACACCAACATACTATTCGGATTTCCATGAAATTAACCAATTTAAACTTTTTGATGATTAGAGGATCATAAACTGCTGTACTCAAATGTGCTTGGAAAGTGAGGAACACCAGAAAATATGTACAATTTACACTTGAAAATAATTCTATGTTGAACTTTATCTTAACTTACATGTGAATCTTGTATGAGAAGTAAATAACTGCAAGTAAATTATTAAAAATATGAAAAAAATTCAATACTGAAAAAATCCTACCTATTTACACTTTCCCTGTGAATTTGGAAAAGATTATAATTCATTTTTAGACTACCTGTCCTTCACATATATAAAATAGAAAATTATGGGGCACAATGCTAAATGTTCTATAAAGAGTAATGGCCAATTAGCATAGTATAAGTTGCAAATGTATTAAAGGTAAATCATAAAGTAAAAACGTATTTCTCAAATCACAAAACTTAAAAATTTGTACACTACAGTAGGCAGAACAGTGGCCCTCAAAGGTGTTAATGTCCTAATCACCCAACCCTGTGAATGTTAGATTATATCACAAAGAGGAATTTAAATTGCAGATGGAATTAAGCTTGCTAATCAGTTGATCTTAAAGTAGGAAGATGTCCTGATTATCTGGGTGGGTTCAACTGAATAGCAAAGTCCTTTTTATGTGGAAGAGGGAGGCAGTATAAAAAGAACCAGTGAGCTGGCAATATAAGAATGACTGCCAGATGTTGCTGGCTTTGAAGAAGATGCTAAAGAGCCAAGGAATGTGAGCAGCCTCTAGGAGCTGGAAAACGCAAAGTAACAGACTCTCCCTAGAGTTTTCTGAAGTAGACTCATCTTGCCAAAACCTTGATTTTAGTCTCATGAGACCCATTTTGTACTCTGACTTCTAGAATAACAATACATTTTTTAATCCATTAAACTTGTAGTAATAGTGAACAAGATAATTTTGGCTATATATGTCAGAAAACCTAGGATAACTGTAACTTAAATACAAGTTTATTTCTCTCCATGTGAAAGTGGGTRGAGGTAGAAATTCAAGGGTGATTTTGGTATTCCAGTGTCAAAGACTCAGCTCTTTCAGTCTTGTTACTCTGCCTTCTGTAAGGATCTTGAGCCAGCAAGTCTAATTTCAACCAGCAGGAAGAAGGAAAGAATGGTGAATCATCTTCTTTTGAAGAACTTCCTCAATGTTGCACACACTATTTCCACTTTTACATCTCATGGCCAGATCTAGTAGCACAGTAGCACCTAGTAGCAGAGAGGGAAATAGAGACATTATTTCAAGGAGCTATGTAATAAAGAGTAACAGTTCTATCATTAAAGAGTAGGAAAAATATTGGAGACAACTAGGTATTGAAGTTGTAGAATGAAGCTATAACCACAATACTATGCTATTGTGATTTTTTCTCCCATTGTTTTAAGAACATAAAGCAAACCCCACCAGATTTTTGGTCAATYAAGACAGAGGTCTTCATTCCACAAAGTTATTGAACAATTGCTATGTAATTGTATTTACTAGATTTTGCATGTACACATACATTAGAACATGCATATATACATGTTGAATGACTAGAAGACATTATATTCAAACTTCAAGGGAGTGGAATGCTTGGCTGATAATAGCATTAAAAGTAATTTGCGTGTTACTTAGGGTCCTGGCAGGAGACTAATGACATATTCAAAGAGTAACTGAAGAAAGTATAATGAAGAGACTATTTACAAAGGTATGGGCAGGTTTCAAGGGAAGAAATGATAAAGCATCCAACGATTACCATCCATAGGCCTGAAGGCACAAATGGAAGGAGGAGTTTCTGGAACTTTGCAAGGTCTTTAGGCATGGGACAGAGGTGTCTGGCAAAAGCTATGGGCCTTAGTAGAATGAAGCTATAACCACAATCAGGCAGGAGGAAGAGCAGATTATCCCAACTCTTTCTTCCTCTCTGTTTTCTGATCATTTGTCAATGCCTCCCCAATTGGTTGAAACCAAACAGAAACCAGAGGGCAAAGGACTTGGTTGATGTGGTCCACAGAAGTCAGCCACTCAAAGCATGGAATGAATTTTGTGACAGAATTTTGTGAATTTTGTAACAAACATCATATGAAAAAGTAAAGCATTTTATAGAGCTGGGAACAATTTTAAAAATCTTAACCTGAAAGAGAAAGGGAAAAGATCTGAACAGAGCTGTGTAAGACCTGGCACAAAGAAAGATTAAGAGAATGATCAAAAAGTAAACCAGTGGGAGGGGCACAATGGCCGGTCTAGTTATATAAGTAGGATAAAGAGAGTGATCAAAAAAAGAGACATGAGATGAAAGAATGAGAAAGGTTTGACCAAGATCTTGAAATTGTAGTATAACCAAACACTGGGTTTTGTCACCAATTTTGTTAACACATTGGTGGGACATCTAAAGCCTGTCACTGCTTATAGGTTTACACACACACACACACACAMACACACACACACACACACACACTTTTTGTTTTCAGTCCAAGGGCTGAACAGCAGTTGTGATTATACCTGAGAATCTGTGGATTACAGAAATCCAGGGCTGTAGGTCAAAGAAACAGCCATACTCTGTTCACAACCACTCAGCAGCTAAAAGAAGTCAAGATGTCAGAGAAAAGAAATACACGGTAAAAAGAAAAAAAAAAAAGCAATAGAAACCAGATACTGGCACTCTGATATCAAGGCAAGTACTTAAAATTAATACAAATTCAAAATATTCATGCTGCTGTCTTATATACCTATAATTCTAACTATTAAAAAGGGATTCCATGTTCACAAATAACATCAATAATAAAAACTGTCTTTCATGGAGGCAGCTTTTTGAAAGCAATCCTCTTTAACTACTGTGATTTTATGGAAAAGATCAGTACTAATTTTACTTTTTTGGATTTTCATTGACATCCTACAAACATCTCTACCTAAAAATATTTATACTTAACATCTCATTATACTCAAAATAATCCTGAAAACTTGCTCTCCATATAGAAAGCCCCATCTGATAACATTTCATTGACTTATACACATTTGTCCTTTTTATCACCTCCTGGGAGGCTTTATTTGAAAAGCTGAAATGGGTCCTGAAGAAAACTGTTGGTTCTATACCATCCTATGGTCATGTTTCCTTTCTTGACTCTGACAGCAGAATTTGGTGAAATTGCAGCAATGAAATGATCATTGTTCTCTTTGGTACCACTGTGAATCAGATTCAGAGTCTTATTGTTGAGCTATGGAATAAGTAGAAGCTTGAACAGACCTACATATAGAATATACTTTGAGAGTTAGCATGTATCAAATGTATTCTTTTCCCCMTCAAAGCTCTAGGAAAATAAGCATTGAATGGAGGAGTAACACCAACATGCTATCAGGATTTCCATGAAATTAACCAATTTTAAAATTCTGATGATTAAAGAATCATACATTGTTGTACTTAAATGTGTTTGGAAAGTGAGGTACATGAAAATCATACCTTTGATGTGGAACACCATGAAATATGTACAATTTTAAGTTGAAAATAATTTTATGTTGAACTTAACTTATACATAAATCTTATACGAAAAGCAAATAACTGCAAATAAATTATGAAAAAAATATAAAAGTCAATTCTAAAATATTTTACCCATTTATTCTTTCTCAGTAAATTTGGAAAAGATAATTCATTTTTAGAATACTTGTCCTTTAGCATATATAATCACAGTGTTTGGTAAAAGCAAGGTAACATTTCATTATTATTAGTATTACTGAATGAATGCTGTATGATGGCACTATTATCAGTGTCCCCTACTCTCTTCAATTTAATCTAAATCTTAATAAATTTCTCTATAAAGTGATTCTAAAGTTTTCCTATCTTCAATTACATTTAAGAGATAAGCAACTATAATATATGCATCAGGTTTAAAGCAGGACTTCATTTTTTAATTTACTTTGCATGCTTTCTCTTCAGTCTAGAGTTCATTGTCTTCAAAAATATTATATAAGGTTTATCAGTCAAGTATTTAATTTATAAAATATAGTTAACACATGCTTTTACAAAATTTATATTAGATTTGGCCTCTCGATATTTGTACATATTTAAAAAACAGGACTGAACAGAATTAATCACTTAGGGAAAATGATTATGAAGAAATTTAAATTAAGAGCAATTAGACTGGATAAGACAGTAAATGGCTTTCACAGTCATGATTTCAACTGTTTCTAAGGATGGATGTGATGAGGGCAGATATTRATTTATTAAGTATCTACTAATGTCTAGGCCCTCTGTTAAGTGCTGAGGATACAAAAATGAACAACAACAATAACAAAAACCTACCGAATAAGTTACCTGATTACATAATATCTGGCCCAAGTTAACCAAATTAGTGACCACTAAAGTAAGGAAGAAAATTACTTTACCTCATTTTGTCTCTTTATGATATTTAAGGTGAGGATGAATAGTGAAAAGAAACTTGGTAAGAATTTTCAAGTCAGAAGGAAAAAATGGCATGTGTAATAAATAATTCCTAAGTTTAAGGGTGGGTAAAATGTGCTTGAGCTAGAAATATATACATGTTTTGCTTTTCTGGTTGGAAATTAGGTTAGCAATTTTTWAAAAGTTTGGAGAAAATTTCTGGCAAAAGACAGTCTATGATCTGATTCAAAAGACAACTGAAGAATATCATACAGTCCTTAAAAAGAGAGGAAAAATTACAAYTGGACCAAGCATTTTGATGTGCGTAAGTTTCAGTCAACATGGTATTGAGGGAAATGAGAAATGCCTATACTTAAAATGATCATTAGAGACAATGATTTTAGTTTTGGCATTGGGAAAGAGTACAGATACATAACATACAGCAAAGAATATTTATAGTCCCATTTTGTGCACTGATAAATAAAGCACTTATGCTCAAAATGCCAAAGCGAATGGGGCATCTTTTAATTTATATTCAGGATTAAATTGTCTTGATTTTTGAATTACCAGACTTTAGCTGTAAGGTTATTTCGGTTGAGAGATTTGAAGAGATTCATCAATGGATCATCTACATTTTCTGGTGGGGTGTGTTTAAATCGCAATTTWAATAAAAATTCCTGACATAGGCAAGACAAAAATCGTACGCATAAATTGACTGAGCATCTACTATACTAGCACCGTTACGTGATTTACTARATTATTTCTAACAGTCCCATATGTCAGGTTTCAGTTTGCTTGATATCTCTATTGATTGCTCTTACACTGTTAATTGATAACATTAGTTGAAATATAGCTCATTTATCCCATAAAGTTGTTCTCAGAAAATTCCTCATGTTAAAAGGGCAGGGAGCAGGGAGGAGAAACCTCAATCCCAATCCCACATTCTGAAGACAACTTTTTCAGTATTTGTGGTGCTACAWACGTGGTCTTTCAGAAATCCTCGGACTTGTACAAAGTCAAGGACTTAAGATAAAAATCAGCAATCTGTCTGCATCGAAGACATCTGTTTCTTGCCATACGGTCCTTACACAGCGACGACCGCTCATTTAAGAAGTAAACCGTGGCCTGTTAAATACCTAAACTCTAAGTCASGACGCCTACGATTCCGGCGGTCGACCCAGAGAGGAAAGCGGGGAGGGCGGGGAGGAAGGCAGGGGCGGGGGAGGCCAAGGTGACAGCAGGTGAGCGCCGTGCTCKGATGAGGAAGTGAGACGGGCACCGTGTGGGGATTACTCATTCCGCTTTACTGCAAGCGGAACTTCTCGCCTCTTTCRGTCCAGTTTAAGTTCAATCTGACTGAAGTCACTTCCCATCCTGGTTCTCTAGGGGGAAAACCGTGCGTCCGTGTGAGGGAAGGCAGTCAGGACAGAGCGGGTCAGGTAGCTGCTCTCGTGACTCTGCGTGTCCTCGCYGTCAAGGGCCGAGTTCCCCAATCACTCGTTCCCGGTTCCCCGAACCTGCCCTTCCCCGAATCCTGGGAACTCCCCGGGGTTGCCCAGGGCTCGACCCTCTCCCGGGCCCCGGAGTGCGCAGGGTTGACGAGTGGGGCGTGGGAGCCGGGCCCAACCTTCAGGAAGAGGGAGGGCCGACGGCCGCCCGGGATGCTCAGAGGGGCCGCTCTGAGGGCACAGGGTCCAGAGCAGCAGCAGCCAGACCCGTCGGAGTACTAGACAGCCGCGGCGGGTGTGGCTAGTCCAGAGGCAGAACGCCGCTGAGCCTCCAACTTTACCTTTCCCACTCRGACAGCCTGTCGCCCTTCTGACCACGTCCCCACAGTATCCCAACGACCCAATCTCTCACCCAACCACACCTGAGGAAAACTTTTCCCTCTCCTCTCAATTCAAACTCCGCAGCGTCCTAGGTTGCCGCAAACCGTCCWGTCCTTAGCAACAAGGTTCCGGCCGTAGAGCGAGCGCCTCTAGGTGTAAGGAAGGTGATGTCGTAAAGCCGCGAGTGTCGTAAACCAGGTGCGGTGGGGAGGGGGGAGGGGTGGAGGCGGAGGGGTGGGGGGGAAGGGGGAGGGAGGGAGGGGGAGGAGGTGACTCGAGCATTTAGACACAAGCGAGAGGATCATGGCGGATGGCCCCAGGTGTAAGCGCAGAAAGCAGGCGAACCCGCGGCGCAATAACGGTGAGTGGCGGAGGGGACCGGGGAGCGGCGGAGTCAGGGGGAGCCGGGCAGCCGGGGCGCCCCCGGGGATGAGGGGGGCGAGCCGGGTTGGGGGCGGCCGGGGCAGGGACGGGCAAAGTGGAGTGGGAAAGTAGAAAGTAGTGCTCTCTGCCCCCCTCCGCTGCCGCCACTGCCGGAGCCGCGCCGCGGCCGCTCGCTCTCCCTGAACCGTTATGTCTCTTACCTGGTCTCTCTCCGCCTAGCGGCTCCTGCCGCCCCTGCCGCCTCCCTGGACCGTTAGCCGCGGCCGCCGCCGCATCCCCGGCTCAGGGCGGCCGGCAGGGACGCGGCCGGCCACTTTTCTGGTCTCGGGTGGAGCGACTGTTGCTTCTTTTCGCACTTTTCCCCACTCTTTTCGCCCCTCGGCGCCTCCCTCTCCCCCTCCTCTTCAGCCCTCTCTGCGTTCTGCTCCCTCAGCGCCCAGGCCCCCGGGAGCCTAGGAACAAACTTGTGCCCGGCGCTGACCGTGCAAAGTGGCTTCCGCGCGCCACGGCCACGGCGGGCGCTGGAGTCCGGGGCCCGCGGTTCGGGCAGGGCTGCGGGCGCGCGGCGGGCGGCGGCGACGGCGGCGGGACGGACGGCCGGGCTGCGTGTTGTCCGTGCGCGCGTGTGCGCGGGCGCAGGCGGTGCGCGCCGCGGGCGGACCCGGCTCGCCCGGCGGCGGTAAAGTTGTGACCAGCGCGCTCGCGGAAAGGGGCTCCAGAGACGCGGGTCCCTACACGCCCCTCCTCCCTCTGCACCCCCGRCCACTTTGCCCTCGGGCTCCCGATCTTGGGGCGCGGATCCGCGTGAGGGAGGTCCCCATTTTGTGAGGAGCTGGTGGGGCAGCACAGAGGGGACAGGCAGGAACGGGCACCTACTTGCTGCTGCCAGGGAGCTCTGTGGATGGCGGCGAGCTCGGTGTGTTTGTAGAGTTATTACCTGGTTTTAAGAGATCTGGAAGCACCACAGACAGATCCCCCTCCCCAAGCAGGACTCGCTCTGGGCGCCTGGATGGGGCTGTGTGCTTATGCCTCTCTTTTCTCTTTCGGTTTTTGGGGAAGTTATTACCTGGGCCGGACGCACGGAGCGCTGAAGCCGGATAATGGAGCTTGGATGGCGCTCTGGGTCTCGGGTGGAAGAGGGTGGGGGATGGGGCGGACGGACCGACGGACGCTCGGGGCTGCTGCTCGCGCCGCAGCTGCAGTGTTTATTGATTTGTGCTGATGTGCCAGGGAAACACACACCCCTCTGCCTGCCGTGGGAGTTTTTTTTTTTTTTTTTTTTTTTTTTTTTTTTTTTAAAGAGAGAGAGAGAGAGAGGGAGGCAGAAACAAGGAGAGAGATCGAGACCCGAACATGTGGTGGTTGCACGGTCGCCTTTTCCAGTTTGAAGAGACGTTGTAAGTTGATTGTATTTCAGCTTATCTGGGGGGCGATTCCGTGCCTTCTCTCCCGTCTGCTCAGCGGTGAAATGTCTGCTGATTGTTATTGTCTGGACAGTTCCTGTGGCGAGAGGGGCGAGACTGGCCGGCCGGGGGCGGCGGGAGCGCGGCGGAGAGATGCCCCCGCCCGCGCCGGGTACCTGTTTGTATAATAATGGGCGGCAACGGCCCTGCGCTGGCTGCGGCCGAGTCTATATAAGGAATTACGCGTGCATTTCGGACCCAGGATCTCATTTTGGCTCCTGCGTTATTTTTTCGACGAGTTTTTAAGAGTAGGGGAATAAATGCATCCCTGATGGGATCGGTGTCGCGTCCAGAAATGAGGAAATATGTGTTTAAGTGAAAACTCTGCGCGGTCCCCCCGCCCACCCCCCGCGCCTGGGCTCTCTTTCTCCCTCCCCTCCGGGATGTGAAACGCGAGGTTTTGTAACCTTTCCTGGCAATTTTAGATTTTGTGTGGGATTTCCTGTCTAGAAGCAGATAGGAAGGTTTTAGGCTGTTCCAAGATGTTTTCTTCCAATCGTAAACATATTTTTAACATATTTGAGCCGACATTAAAATCACCGCTTTCATGAATTATTTCAGTTTCTCAAATAAATACCTGCATTTTAAAGACGTTTGATAGTTACCACCGAAAGGTATATGTGGTATCTTCATTGTGGTGACATGACTTGTTATAGCAAGGAGCAGAGCATAGGCTATTGCAATTTTAATTTCCTGTTTTAGCGTCACATAGTGTGTGTTCTATATTGAGCTGTTGCGGCTGCTGCTGATGTGGCTTTATGAAAGGTAAGTTGGTTCGGAAAGGGCTGCTCGCTTTTTACCTTATTTAAAATGTTGATCGCCTGAGAAAGGGGCTTTTCTTGTTGCTGACGACATGTGTGTGACATGTGAGTCTGAACCACCCAGCGACTGTGCAGCTGCTGTAAACATGTTTACCTGAACAGGAAAGAATGGATTTTTCTCCTAGACATTCAGTGATATGAATATTATACTCGTAAGACGTATCAACAGATGACTTAAAGGGGAATAAAGCTATCCTGAAAGGTACTTGAAATCAACAGGAAAAAGAGATTCTTGATCGCTGCAGCAAATGGCAACTTGTGCAGGTAGAAAAAAGATGGTGTTTAGTTTTCTCCTGCATGTATGTCAGCCCCCTCTTGTCTGCTGCTTTCATTCTCGAGGGAGGGATTTATTTACCAGGCTTGCTGTCAGTGTTTTTCCTTTGTGTTTAATATTAGAAAAACAGATTTGGGGCTTTTTAGCACAAAAAGCCTTGTCTGCAGTATGCATTACTCTCAGAAAACAAAAGGTGTTTAAGATAGCGCTGTACAGGTATCTTCCATTTTCATCACTTTTGCTTGTATTCTTGCATTTCTTTTTGTTTTCATGCATTTTATCCATTGCTGATCATTATAGTCATGCTATTTGATTTAACCTCATATTTTGCAAATTAAAATGAAGTTACATGCCATTGTGTTGTGAAACCTCAGGATAGGTGCTGGTTAATATTTCTTAGCAATGCAGTCATCTTTAAGTTGCAGATGTGTTTTTGGATAGAATTGGCTGGAAAAAACTCTTAAATCATTTTAATGAAATAATGGTATATACAGTGAGAGATAATCATAGAGATATTTTATGTTGTTTATGGTTACATAATGTTTTTTATTAATTTTGAAATAAGGTATGCAGATTTTACTACTAAGCCTTTAGTAAAACATTTTAATTTCCTTTCTGGAGTATATCTGCAGAGTACAATATTAATGGGAGTTTCAAGTAATGTAGCTTGACAGGGATAAGCCAGTTGAGTAAGGTTTGGCTAAAGTATCAAGCATTGTGGGGTAACTTTATGGTAATGCCATTAGTCATCTATAAAGGAGTAACATTAGCATTGCTTGAATTGATTATTGCCATTTATAATTTAATGCTCTGTTATATTTTTAAAATCTGTCTTTTATGATTTTCCACATTCTACTCTCTTTGTGACATGGTTTTCTTGTTTTTTTCCTTGAGAAATGTACTGTAGCTGCTAATGACCACATGCTGATTGATTCACCTTAGATGCAATAGCAGGTGCATATTTTTCTGTCATTAGCACCATTTCTTCTTGCTGTCTTTGGAAACCACCAGTAGAGGATGCTAACAAAAATGATTATGGATATAGTTGTGTCATAAGTCTGTCTGTCTTCTGTGCTCATTGGGATCTGCTGTAGAATTCTGGATTTTATTGTTATTTAAAACTAGCCCAGGATAAATTAGACAGAAACATTTTCTTGTTTATGGAGACTAGAAAGAAGTAGGAATATTTTAACTTGAATAATCTTATAAACTTGAGCTTTTTAAATCTTGAATTGAGGTTGATATTATTTTAGTCTTGCATTAAAGCAATCATGTTCCTTTTTAAAAAAGTTTTCTTAGGCTTGAGGAAGAAAATGTAAAGATTGACTATTTACAGTGTATATTTACTATACTTTTTAATSTCTTTTGTTCATAGGTTTCCTGAAAATTTTATTATTTTAGATATTAAAAGGTATTAGATACCTTTTAGATATTAAAAGTTTAAGTATGATAAGGAAAACAATTAATTGATAATACTGTGTAATAATTTTTCCATAATTTATGCAGGCTTAGAATATAGATGGGATGGCAGATAACTATGAAAGTTTGTTAACCAGTACTCTCAGATATTAGTGGTTTCAAAATTTTACCTTTTTTTCCCTTTCAAATCCATTTCCTATTGATAACCCTCCCCCATCCCATTTCCTTAGTTAAGAATTGCATCTTATATAAATTGCAAATTTACTAATTATGAATGAAGAATCTAAGTTTGATTTAAGTGCAAAAAATTGGTAGTTTATTAATTGTTCATGCTTGTATTCAAAGAATACTACTTTCAGCAAAGTATATAAATTAAAATTATTACTTATACATAATTGCATAGAACTTAATGTATTCAGTCATGTCTTTTTGTTTTGTGTCCCCAAGATTGTTAATATAACAGTCAAGTTTAAGCCTTTCATTAAATTTAATGTTAGGAGTATTTATTTCCCTAATTATTTTTAATGGTGTTTCCATAAATGTACTCATACCAGTACCACAATGCAGTAGTCTTGAATTAAAGCATTACCTGAATTTTCAGGTAAGCCTGCATGAACTTCTCATGGGTATTGTGTGTGTGTGTATGTGTGTGTATGCATGCATGTGTGGTTTTTCATTTCTTGTCAAGTAGTTCTTTAATTCTGTATTCTAATTCCTTAGAGCTCATTAGTTGAATAGGTGTGGTTCACTTTTTGATAAATTGAAAACTTTACTATGGAATTATGATGTATGTAAT